GTGGCGGTGGCGGTGGGGGGGCATGGAGGTAATTTTGGTTTCTTCTTCTGTTGCTATTGCTTGCGCTGCTCCATGAGATGCCCATGCTTGGGTAGAGGGAAAGTGAGGGAGAAAAAAGAAAAAGTACGGAAGAAAATGAAGAAGAGAGTTGTTTATTTATTTGTTGGCGTTGGATATAAACGGGGATTACTAGTTGTTAAAGCCTTTTGTTTTGTGTGTTGTCGAAGAAAGAAAGGTTCATTACTCTATTCATTATTGACTTTTCTTTTCTCTCTGTGCGTTGACAATTCTTTTCACTGCATCTAGATGAAATTGACATTATCCCTGTTGGACCGCTTCAAAATCTGGTAATTTACCATTGCTGATACATAGAATTATCCCAAGGCATAACCAGAGCAGAATGCCTCGGCCTAAATTCGTGTGGTTTCATTTCATTTCCCTAAATTCTCTGTCATCACTTTCTTGCTAGTATTGAACATGTTGTGTACACAATCTACAGTTTGGTTTCTGTGTAATGAACAAGTAGAGAGCAAAAATTACTCGATGTTGTTTCTATACAAGAAAATCTTTTCAAATTCATGTTACTCGGGTTTGCATAGACTGCTATTCTCCACTCGTTTTGTATTAGTCTTCCTAGGAAGCATACAAGTAAATTTCTTTATATTCAATGTGAACCGTTTTTTTTTTTATTCACGACTTTGACGAGTTAATATGATTAAATGCCTTAGATTTTTTTATCATACTAGTTCATTAAGTCATATATCACACAAATAAAAAAAAATCAATTGGTATTAAAAATTATAACTATTAAATTTTTATTAAAAATCTATTTGATGCAAAATCAAAGTTCAAGAATCTATTTAAATATGACAAAGATAAAAAAACCTATTTAAATAAATAACTATAATATAGATGTTTATTCATTGAGATTACTTATTTATCAAGTGTGACCTATCTATTCATTGAATATCAAAAGATTAAATTCTTTCCTCTGTCTCTGTGACAACAAAGATGCAGCAAAGAACAGAACAACAGATGACTTCAATTTTTTCACAGAAAACAATTAGTCATACCTCAACAATTTTAATCATCTTCCATCCATAATCTCTACTAGCAATTCATGATTCTCCATACCCTCGAGGCTACAACATAGAAGAAAACGAAAGAAGTATTAGGAGTCCAATGATGGCACCTTGCCACCCGAAAATGTCATCTCCAACCATTCCCAAACTGAAGTGAGTTAGAGGGTCTTCATTTATGCATTTGAGCTTCTTGTGATACAGCACCATTTCTTGCGTTCTTCTGCCATACATGTCTACACTTCTAATTGTGATGACTTCATTGACTTATCAAAGCGTACGCAGTCAACACTTTCTCCAGCCATTGACTTATTTTTGAATTTTATAAGTCTTTTTTAACTTGTAAAAGCCAAACCTTTTGGCACGAGAGAAAGAAGCATTAAAAACTGCAAGGGTTCAATAATAAACTACGTCGTTCGTGCGTTAGGTTGCCTGGCGTGGCTAGTTAACAGGCTTGAATTAGCCTATAGCCCGTTTGGAAGGGCTACGCCCACTCTACATAAAAAGGTATGGGCTTGCAGTTTTTATGTATTTATTCATTTATTTATTTTGATTTTTCCCTTTTATTATTTTATTTTGATATTAATAAACTAAAATAAAATTTTTAACTCATAATTATTCGATTTTTATATAGTCATATCAAATCCTTTTTTTTTTGAAGAAAACAATGACAAGAAGTGGTTGACCATTTTAAACATTGACTGGCAAAACCAACTGCAGTTTTATTGTAACATTGCATTATATTCATGAACAATGCATTTAGGACGAAGTTAAATTATACTCCCCAGCAGAAACTTGTTCTATTGACGCCCATGATCACCTCCCAACCAAAGCCCCCTCCACCACTTCCGCCGCCGCCACCTTTTCCTCCATTGTCCCTCCCACCTTCGTAGCCAAAACCTCCACCATATCCACCTCTGCTGCCGCCACCTCCTCCTCCTCTACCTCTGCTTTCCACCCCTTTTGAGCCACGCCTAAAACCATTCCTTGCTAAACTATCCCCACCATCATCACAATTGTCATTACCTCCATCACTTCGTTCGCATTGATAATCATTATTTTCTCCTCCAGATCCAGCACCACCTCCTATCGAGACAGCACAAAAATTTAGCCCGCCACCTCTACCCATATCTCCACCATTACCCTCTCCCTGCTCACAGCAATCTTTTTTTCTCGTTCAATTATTAGGATTGATAGACATTGAGCCATTAATTTTAGAAAGCAATAAAATGATGAAGAGGACAAAGACCATGCTATTGAATAGCTTCATTTTTGCTGCTACAGAATTAATGCTTGTAAACTGACTTGTAGATGAAGTATGTCTATATAGAAGATAAATCAACTACGTAGGACGTTGGGATCTTGTTTTTTGAATCAAAATATGCATGCATGCATGCATGGACATGTAAATCTGAAAAGAAATATCTGTAGCATCTCGTGAAAAAACAGAGGCTTGTTTGTGTTTATAGTTGTAAGGATCTGAAACAGGTACAGTAATCTATAAAAAACATAACATAAAGACTTTGTTATGGTTCCAAGGTAAGTCCATGAATCCACATTTTTACCTCGTTTTCAACCTCAAATTGAAAGAGCGGGTCCAATTTTCAAGGCCATAGGGGTGTATGAAACAAGCCAGAGTGGTTGTCTCTGGTGAATGAATGGTTACAGTGATTAATCCAAAAACAGAAAAACACCTCGGAAATTTTGTTACCAATATTTCCCATATGGCCATGGGAGATGGGATTAGTAAAACAGTTTCTATATAAACACAACAAATAGGAAAACATCAAAGTTGCAATAAGATAACTAATTTAGAATTAGGCCCAATTTTTTTGTACCAAAACACAAAAAGGCACCTACACGGTCGAAAATGGTAGATTTTGACTTCCGTAATTGACTAAGGTGAAAAAAGGAACGGAATTTAAATCTTTGATGGATATTGACTTTATTTTAAGATGATCGTAAGTATAATTGAACTCCTTAATATATACCAGTAATTTGACCTACATGATTCTTTTTTGTTTTTAACTAATTGGCCTAAATGATCTTTAGGTGATAAACTTGAAGTGAAAATATATTTGCCTTATATATCAAGACCACCAACAGTAAACGAGAAGTCTAATTTGTAGTATTGCAATTACCATCACACGGTGGGTCATCCATTTGTAGAATGTAGAAACATGTATAAGATATTTTACAGAAAAACACATACAAGAGAAGTCTTGATTGAAAACAACAGATTTCAAAATAATCTACTCCTTGCTCATCAAAATGCCCAAGAACATGTAAGTACAATGATCAATATTAAGGAAAAGCACACCCCACCTTCCAATCAAGAAGAGGATACACGTGCAACTGCTATAGTTACCTCTTTCATTATTGGCTCACTCATGAAGACACCTAGTTGCAAACTCTTTTTTGATCAACTTGGGTTTGTAGAAGAATCAAGGAAGAAGGCAGCCACAATGTTAGTTGTAGAATGGGTAATGCAGCTTACTGGGACAACCTATGAAGAAGATGGTAAGTGAATATAAGAATGCCATACATTGTTCATAAGGCAAATGGGAATGGATATTGCAATCTAATGAATACAAAGACTAATGCTATTATAGCACCAATTAATTTTTAATACATTAAGAAGTATCATGTATGACAATACTCTCCACTATCTATCTTTTTTATAAATGACTTATTAGAGTTAATTTTCAGTTAATTGCCTTATTTTACTTTAAATTCACCTTTAATATTGGTTTTGATGGCAAATGCTTACAATGTTAGACCAAAGCATCAACAGATACATGATTGATAGGGAACTATCTCGAAGTAAAAGGTAAATTTTGAGAATCTCGCTTTCTTTGTATTGTGGGAGTGGTGAAACAAATTAAAAATTTCCAAAATTAACCCTTAGCTATTTAGGGCAAAATTACACCAAGTTGTTTTAGGGAAGCACTTAGGAATAATTTCAAATGCGTAATGTATAACAATAACAAACATAATAAAAATAAAAATAAAGGTAATAATAAATATATAATTTGCAAGCTATTATTTATATATTTATTATTATAATTATTAATATTTAAAAAAGGAAAAAAAACTAAATATAAATGTTGTCATGCTTATTCTATATACTTCTTATAAGAATTTTTATGCAGAGGATAAAATGTAAATGTCCAATTTTGACTAATTATTATTTTTGAAACACTGTGTTACAGAAAAATTATATTAAGGTGTTCTAAGCATGCAAGTGCCCAAGGTTGTTCCAAGCAAGGAAGTGCTTAAGAGTGTTATAAGTGAGGAAGCACCAAGAGTTTTTTAAGTGTAGAAGCGCACTCAGGCACAGAAACTCATAGGAACAAGCTCATTTTTTTAATGATTAAACATGTTTTTCTAATTATATCTAAAAAAAAGCTCTTGATTAGTATAAATATAAAAATCTTAGAGTGCTCATGATTAGTACAAATATAATAGCCTTGGAGGTTGGAAGGTAATAAAAAATCATTAGAAATCTAGCAAAAATTATCTTGAAAACTCTCTCGAAACTCCTTCAAGTATTCTTTCTATTCAGCCATTTCCAATCACGGTAATCCGTCACTTTTTTCTCTTTTTCTTATCCCTTACCATTTGCCATACAAAACATTTATGTTTAAAAGATTGCTCTAATCTTTCTCTAATCTTGTTTTTTGCTGCCTTTAACGCATTTCGATTCTGTTATTACAACACGTACTCTATTCCTACTAGAAGAACCCTTTACAATCTTTAATCAAAAACTCAAAATCAAATCATGTATAACTAAAGCAATGGTTAGAATTTTGTACAATACATAAAAAAAATGTTAACCTCTCTTTCTTCTGCAGAAGAATTGGGAGATGGAAGTATAGGAAATTGGCGGGAGGATGAGGAGGTGGAAGCATGGAAAGATTAGCGGGCGGATGAGGAGATGGAACCAGGAGAATAAATAAATAAGAGTCATCGACATCCATGGTATCGAAATGTTCATAGGGTTCAAGCTGCATGGCTATGGGCTCTTGAGCTTGCCTGTTCATTTTCTTTATCGGTATTTTTTTTTGTATTTTCATGAGAAAGGGAGGGATTTTATATTATTATGTAAACGAAAGAAGCAAGGAAACGACGTCAGTTCAGTGCCTGACATTTTGGGAGGGATAAGCTTACTATGGGCTTGGTTATTTTTGGTATCAATAAAATAAAATAAAATATTTTATTGAGCTGTGAAGGCCTAGATACAGTTTGGATTATATCTGATATGTTATTAGTATTAGTTTTATGGTTATGTTTTCCATTGAGTTTTTGTCTTGTTATTCAACTGATTATGCTGTTATTATCAAGTCTTGAGTTAATATTGATGCCATTATTAAAAAAAAAGTCATGCTACTCCTTTCACCAGTTTTATCTTAAATATTTGTATTCTTAAAAGCTAGAATCTATCAATTTAAGAGTAAGTCAATTAATTTATAAATGAAATATTTCAATCAAATCAATAAACTATTATCACATCAAGTAAGATAAAATATTGAGATAAATAGTGTTTTTCATAAAAAAAAAAAATTAATGTAATCAAATTTTGTTAATCATTACAGTTTTAATTAAGAAATAAGATTATTTGACATGATGATGAAAATGATCATTATCTTATATCTTTTGTGTTTCGTGTTGGAATAATTTTTTTATATAAAAACTCATATGTATTTTCACTAAATTTTATGAAAATGCCTATTTCATTGAAAAATTTAACATGTATTCATATCTATGGTGTCAAATTTTTTAATTAAGAGAGCATGCAATTGGAAAACATAATGATAATTATTGTAAAAGTATAACGTTAAAATATATTTTCTTTTGTATCAAACCATATTATGCAATTATTAATAAAATTCTATAAACAAATCACTAGTAATAAAATTAAAATCCAAAGTCGTTAATCCTCAATTAGACATGTTAATGATACTCCAACTAGGAACCCTTGTAGAGAATGAATGTGCAAGTCCTCTTTGATTCTGAAATTCATTGCAAAAACATTTGTAATTGCTAATTAATTCAAAGGCAAGATAACTATAATCACAAAATAAGTTCATTAATTAGTACTGTGATTATGGGATAACATGTTTAAATGAAGATGATGACATATTAAGGCCGAGAAACACAATTATTATCCCCCCACAAACTTGTCATTCTCGATCAGTCATTATTTGTCATCATCAGCCCTGTAATTTTACTTTCCTTCCCACCCAAACAATCACACTCATACCATAATCAGAGAAGCCAAAGGCTGAAAACAAATATCTTTATCTTATTTTCTAAATCATCTTTATATGAATTAGATTCCTTTTCCAGTACTGTTCTTGCCAGGCCAACAATGTAGAGTGAACCTTGGACCTACAGTTTCTTGTGCCCGGCTTGCCTGAGTCTAACCATCAAGTCATATGTTTGCAGTTAATCTGTGAGAAGTGAAACTTGACAGGAAAATAAGCAGGAAAGTGGGTTATATGAAAGATACATCATAACTAACGTGTTTACTTTTTTGGTAAGCATTTGAAAATAAGGAGATGTTAGTTATCTAATTAGCCAATCATAGTACACTTCTTTTTGTAATTGTTTAGTTGCTGGGTAGCCATTGCTAGGCAATGCAACAACTTGGGGGTTTTTTTTTTT